AAAATAAGATCTAATCTGTCCCGGCGGTTTTAAGGCTCATCATATGAAATTGCTCGTTTCTCAGTTTGTAAGAAGATCGCCGTTTAGCCATTCCCTGAGAATATGCCAAGTGGCACATTATTTTTAAAATTTCAATTTTAGTAATAGATTATTTGTTGTGTCTTAAAAGTACTTATTAAGTTTGTTATGGTGCTCTTTAGTTGTATGGAATTTAAAAAAGTTAAATGAACATTAAAAACCTCGATACAAAACAACGTGCTCCAAAAGATCACGTAAAGTCGCCATCCGTAAATTAACAATTCATCGAGACCAATTTAGCCCGAATTCTACTACACAGTTCTACTGTAAATAATTGAGGGCTTGAGAAGTCTCTAGACTGTCTTGGTTACAGGTTCAGATTAAGGTTACCTATTATTGTAATGTCATCGGACTTCATGCAAACAAAATTTCAAGACGGTCGGACAAGTGGAAGTAAAATAATATATTTATTGAGATTTTTTTTGTAGAATAACTCCACTAGTTTTGTTATGATTATAAATACAAAGATCGAAAACTCAGAAAAATTTTATCGTCGACTCAGTGGGACATGAACTCACGACCATACTGCACCGTAGCATTGCGCTAACCATTTGATTCACGGGCCGCGGGCCCAGTTACCGAGTCGTCGAAATTCTCCTATGGGTTTTTTGTTATAGATCTTTATATTGACTTTCGGCATTTGTCGCCACTAGTGACATCTAGTGAGAGATTTTTAACCTTCTCACCTCAGACGAAATCATTACAAGTGACGCAAATAAGAAAAATAAGTTTTTTTTACAAAAACGTACCTCAAAAGGTTGTGGAATTACATCTATTTGCCCAGTTTTATTGACATCGGTTACCGGAAAGAGCACGAAACCGGATTCATCCCCTAGTTTGCCACACTTAGAGGTGGAATATTTTTTTCAAATTTAAACGGGACCAACATTGAGGTACCCTCTTTCAATCAAAAAAGAATAATCGAAATCGGTTTACAAATGACGGAGTAATCACGTAGTATACACATACAAAAAAAATCTGTCGAATTGAGAACCTTCTCATTTTTTTCGAGAGATCCTTACACTACCTGAGAAAAGAGTTAATGTTCTTTAAATATCTGAATAGATGTTCAACAAACACAGCTAAGAAACATTCCGATTAAATTAACTTTAGAAAATCGCTTTGCGACTAGTCCTTCCTTTTAGGAGTTCTGATGCTACACACATACAGGCTGACACAACAGATAAAGTGTTATAAACCCCTCTTTAATTCCCCTCTTTTTGCATCGGGGGCTAAAAATAGTGTATTTGAATTGTTTAGTATTGATTTACTATAATAACCTGAGGAAAGCTTACAAGAGATTGGCATCGCAGCGGATATGACTCCAGTATACTCTCAAATTATTCACGGGATGTTCTAACGTAAACTTTAAGAAAACACAACAAAATGTGTTTAACTCACGTACGAATGCAATTTGTAAAGAGTCCAGTACTTAATATAAAAGTTCCATGAAGGACTATTTAAAAATAATTTAGTTATTTATTAGTATGTACTACAGAAAAAAATGAAATCATTTATTTTGTAACGCACATGAGTTATCTATTAAATCCCAGCTGTAATTATTACACTTCTTTGTTCCATATATTGTTTATAGTGCGTATTTATTATTTTGTACAAAAGTTGACGAGTAAACTTAGCAAAAGAACAGGTATTTTTTTAAAATATGCAAATTTTCTACAAACGAAACATTTTATTTATTCAATACTAATTGCCTTCTGAAAATTAAAATTATACAGTTGAGAGTCTAAAAAGTCCAATTTAACTAACTCTACTTATGTTAAAAATCATCATCATCAGTTTCAGTACGCCAACTCTCCCGCTCCTGTGCTGCTCGCATCCAGCCGCTGCGGGCTACCATTCTCATGTTGTCTGTTTATCTTGCCGCAGGGCGTCCTACATTACGTTTACCTTGACGTGGTCGCCACTCCAGAACAAGTCTGCTCCATCTCTCTCATCTCATCAGATATCAGTCCGGCCCACTGCCACTTAAGCTTACTGATTTTGCGAGTTTCGTCGGTCACTTTACTTTTCTGATGTATGACTGTATTTGGAATACTTATATTACAAGGTGGCAATGTAACATGTAAAAATTTAGAGTTGATTGAAACGAAATCAGCAAATTAAATAAGTGTTCCGCACATGACCTATCGAATCGTTCCAATACTCAATCGAACAATCTTAAAACTTGGAATGAAGGAATGAATGGGACACAAACAACAACTAACTTTTCATAACAACTCTCAACTAATTGTCTGCTGATTTGGCTATGAATAGGTGTTGATTTCAATTGATCATTGACTCGCTACTCGTATTGACAAGGAGAAATTAATCGCTTCATTAGCTGCGTGTGAGCATATCGGCGATCATTGGTTAACATTACAACAGTGAGCTGCATTTAAGATCTTGGCTGAGCGGATTGAAGAGATTAAATGTACATTAAAGTGATACCATGAAATATTTTATAATAACGCTATTCCAAATCTTTTATGATTGTTTTTCTAAATGAAGATGAACGTTAGATTAATCAAGCAATGGTTTTAGAGATATTTTCAGAATCGGAGAACGTGACATTAAAAGCTATTTTCAGTCACGTTTTCCCTCACAAGGGACGATCGTAACAAAATGAGTTTCTGAGGTGCCCTTAATTTTTTACTCCGCTCAAAATGAAATGGAAAATGTAGTATTACAAATAAATGTCGGAGAGGCACAAATGGAAGTCGTTAACAACCACCAGTGCGTTTTAGAAAAGAGCGCATTTGTAAAATATGTGTAAAAATGTAAACTTTATGGTTTTTGTTTTTGGTTCGTTGATTAAAATACAATAGAAGAAATAACTTAAATTTTCCAATACTAATTCATATAGCTTACTCGTGTATATATTTATTTGGCATATAAATACATAAATAAATATATGTTTTAGAAAATATTAATTTCCAAAAGTCTTAATAATCAATGTTACAAGAGACGTGGTGTGGTTTTATTGATGACGTGATTTAAAATAAATATTTCGTTTCACGTTGAAATTGAGGGGCTTTGTGTAATGTAATGTTTTGAGTCCAACGGAAAAGAACATTATCTCCTTAAATAGGAAGTACATTACGTAATAAATAATGATAAAATAGTTACCAGAATGATACTTGATTAATACTCTTTCATTATTCTATGTTTAGTATCCATGAAGAAATGCCCGCCCACAATATGATTGAGAGCATTTATTGTTGTTATTTAATCAAGCAATGGGTTCATTTACATCTTCAAATACTGATTTTGTTTGCATAACACCTAATAAACATTATTAGTTGTGTAGGATGGAGCGATGATCTGCGAAACACTGCTGACAGCAGAGATGGATGCTACAAGTTGAGGACTGGGCGAAATAGAGTACATTGGAACATGTTTACAACAATTTGTGTTATTTTGTGAACAATATCTTCTCAATAACATGCGATAGGAGAACATTTGCATCTGAATGTGTTTCGCGTACCTATTTAAGTCAATTATAATGCTTATACACACATGCACATGCGGAATACATGGCAGCACCTGAGTTGTACATAGCGATCATTGATGTGCTCTATTGGAGTTTTTCAAGCGATCTCTCCCCGAGAGAGCAGTCGCCGTGCGCTCGCGCATGAATTAGCTCGTTTTCATATTTTTCGTAATATCGTTTGCAATTTATTTTAAATCAAAGCGTTTAATTTAAAAACTTGTATTAACGAAATTACATTTAGTCGATCCTATTGGTGTGTGAAAGTGTCTAGTGCGTCAACAAGTGCGTTACGCTCTATGTAATATGCGAATATGGTTTATAACTGTTAGGCACTAAAAATGTGACGATGCATTGTTATAAGATTGAGGTTAATACACCGTGTGTAATTAATTTGGTAGTTTTGTCACGACTAATTAATCTGTGCGAATTCATTGTTTTCGCTTACGTTGATGCCCAACAATATACTTTGTATTGTTGTATTGTATCGCCGGTCGTTGTATGATCGTTGTTAATAAAATATGCCTAGAAATAGTTAGTTTTTGTTTACTAGATACAAGCCGGATGCCGGCAAGTGTGTCGTGAGCGATTTCACCGACACGCACAGAGAATACCCCTGTCTGATAGTTCCAATTACAAGAGCCATTAGGTCTATAGATAATTACGTGTTATGCGTGGTTGTATGAAGTGTATGACTTGGGTGGGTGCGGCAGTGAAAGTCGTGATGTTGCACAGCTAAAGCGTGACGCCACGAGACGTCATGGGCCATGTGGAGAATATGCGGCGTCAGTAAGGCCGACCCCGCGCTGTTCGTCAGTAACGTCGACGATGATTATGTAAGACATTGAGTAATGTATATTAAGTGATTAGAGATTACAATACTTCCACACGAGTTGCGAGTAATGTGTCTTATAACGCTTATATCGAGGTTTAAGTAGCTAATTACGCTTTCGTTATCCTAAATGTCTAAAGTTCAACATATTATATGTTGTAGCTCTTATACAGTTTGAAGTTTCGATTAAATCTTCATTAACTTCCATTCCATTATCAATGCCGTAATGATATTCCTGTATTTAATACTGACATGCCAAGGTATTAAGTGGTATTGATATCTTTAATGTTTAGAATTGATCAAATCAGAGTTGTTTGACATTGTCTTTGTCTACAATTTTGTTCTTTATTTATATTTATTTAAATCGGTTTTGTTAAAACTTGTGAATAGGGCTCTGACCTTAAAAATTTACTCGTTGAAACTAAGATCATTGGCTCCACTATCTAAGTGTTAATATAAGTATTGGAAAATCCTACTGCACCCACTTGTGGAACCAAAAGTGTAACCAACAGTTATTATTACATGGATTTGTTCGCAAGATAATTTTGCAAAAATTGCAGTTTTTGGTTCATTTGTGTTGACCTGTTCTTGGTGTTGTTCCAGCAGCCGACATGGCGTCTGTGGGGTGAAGAGCGCGTCGAAGGAGCTATTTACACCGTCTACCTTAAGAAAGTCCGTTACCACAGGCCCACGCGCAGCGCTTCCAGTGTAAGTTTTATTTGATTTCTCTTAACTTTTGACATTAACTTTACAAACCCATATAGATAGTTTTCGGTGTTGCTAGATCGCTATATAAATAACGGAATATAAAATTCCTATCCATTCCAAAATCATTGAAAGTTTAAAATTTTGCGTCCTCCGCCGTAAAGTTAGGAAAGGGGAAGCGGGGCAGTTTGATACAGAGGGCACATTCATACACCTGCATTATCTCCATACCTTCAAACATAATATTAGTTTCAATACTATTTATAAAAGAAAAGATTAAATTAGTAATGTTTATTAGCTATATCATCAATTAGGTAGAAAAATATTAATTATAATTTCATTTAGTTGCTCAAAATTAAACTTAAAAAAAGTGTACGAATCTGCCCCGCTTCCCCCTACCTAATAGACAAAATCTACACGATCAGTGACTACACGTGTACTATACAAGAAAGCTAAGTGTTTGTTTTTGTGTTACAATGTCAATATTGTCAATGTCAATATTGTGTCTACAATATTGACATTTGGGTACCTAAATACAATTTATTCAGACAATTGTATTTTTATTGTATTACAAACAGTGAGATTACAAAGGTTACGGAAAGTACAAGAATAAGAAAATAGTATTAAATAGAATAATCTCGCAAAAAACAGTTCTTTCAATTGAGTTTCTAGGAAAGGACACCATTTTGATGATGATTGAAGTGAATAAAGATATATATAATAGAAGAAGATATATATATATATATATATATCTTCTTCTCAATTAACAAATTCTTCATGTCTATTAACAAAATGATCAAATGTTTAACAGTGCTATGTAACAGTATTGCACATAAGTGAATAATAAAATAGATTTGCTCGACGACATCGCTTTTTACGAGTAATCTGATATTTAGTAGGTAGATTTTTGTCAAGAACCTACATGTTAACTACAACTATAATTACAATCTTCTTTGTAATTGCCATTGTGTTTAGCTCGCAACATTACTTTGATTTATAATCTGATAACATAGAGTGCAGCTGTAAAATCGGCATAGAAGTTTATTCTACGCATTTAAAACGCAGTACGTAAATATACTTCTTTTTTCATATTATTTTTATACATAACAGTGCAATAATCAAGAGAATAATACACCGGATGTGTAACAAACGGTGGGCAAGGTTACTTTTGGCACAATGTAACACAAACAGACTACTGTTTACGTAGACATTGTATGGTTTACGAGGCATTTTGTGTTAAAAAATGTACAAAATTAGCAATTTCAGGGAAATTATAAAACAAACACGTAACACCTACACATTCTTAATTAATTCAGCTCTGAACAAAAATTTCTTGAATTTTAAAACTCGTCAAAACTCTGTATAGGCAGCTAGAATTCGTTCTTTTTTGGTACGACAAGCGACCATTGATTCAACTAAATAATAATGTACCAGACAACCACACCAACTGTCTGGTCTCAAACTAGGGAACTCCCTGTGTTAGGAGTACCAGAGTAACGGAATTCACCCTGGGATACTTCCAGAACACCCAGACCAGAACCAATTTAGAAAAATTCACTTTCCAAGTTGGTTCTACCGGTATAAACCGTTGAGCCATCGAGGACGTCATATATCATTAATGTCTTTTTGGATGTAGATAATATAAAACTTGTTCCAATAAGGATAATGTAACATTGACATACAAATAGAAAGATCGAAAAGTAATTGAACAAATGCATAAACATTAATGGTATTCATGATATTTGTACATGAACTCGTAGGCGGTATACTTTGTATGGCTCATTAAAAATTTACGTATACCTGCTTTCTGTTTAAGTTAAGCTATGAGATTGCCGTTATAAAGTTCTAGTCCCCTTCAGTTCAGTCCCTGTGAAGTGAAGTCTTTTTAGCGAAAGATTCGGCTTAAACAATTTTATTTTTTATGATACCGAGTGACGGGACTGCGATTGTGCGCCTGGTGGTAAGCGACACGCCTGTCCATAAGAGTTGCAGTGCCACTCCGTGCTTCAAATCACAAAGATCCGATGGGCACTACCTCTGCGCTCGTCACCCTGAGACATAAGTTGACAAGTCCAATGTACCTGATATTACACCAGCACCCTTACCCTTTAAAATTGAAATGCTCATGTTGCTGCTTGGTGGCAAAAATAGGTAAAGTGGCAGTACCTCCCTAGACGAACTCTTTCACAAGGAATTCTACTGCTACTAAAAACTTAAGAAAACTTTGAAAACTTAAAACTTAAACATTATTGTTTAAGATTTAAGAATTCTAAGGCTACTTCTACATTTGAAATTTTGGTTCGCTCTGACGTCTTAGCCTGTACTGAAGAGCAGATATTTTATTACTTAAAATTTTCGCGTTATTATTTTGTTGTTTTTTCGTTTTGGTTAAATTTTCATTCGTATTATTTTCGTCAAATTCATGTTATTTTTTAATACAAGATCCGAGGTGGCACTAATGCATCGCAGACGACTCGAAACTAACGAACGCACTGTTCTTTTTTAGTTTGCCAGATTTGGTAGTGCAAATTCTCAATGGGCCATGGTCGAAGACCAAGTTATGAGCTTTGTTGAAGTCGGTCCATCGCAATGTACAGATAGTTTAGTAGTTTATTAATGCCTTGATTGGTGTCAATCTGTACAATTAAAAAATAAAAACAACAAAAATGAGTACCATACGAATTGTCCGAATGGGCAACGCGCGTTGAAGCTTTCAGTGTCTTGAAATCGACAAAGAGATTAAGAAGTTTAAAATCGTGTCACGTGTGATGAAAAATTTATTTTTTTATGACATTAGTTATTGATTGGCTAGAGGTTAAAGTAAACTTACTAACAGAAAATTAGCTGTTTGGAATCCACCTGCGGAGCAATCGTGACAGTTGATCGTAATTGTGAAGAAACGCAGACGATGTCTAAAAAAAGTAACCACGGCTATTCAACGGATCTTCACGACTATTTCTGCAAAATAAGCCAGAGTGCGCCTTACAGGGTTTGCAGATTAAAGCTCTTCACTACCCTCTGTACTCACTTGACCTCGCCGACTACAATTTTTTCCGCAATGTAGATAATTATCTCCAAGGAAAGGAAGGGCGAAAAATAGTTACAAGGTTTTGTGGAGTCCCGTCCTATTCTACCGCAAAGGGATAAATGAGCTTCCATTAGGATGGCAGAAGTATATGAAAGCACACATGCATAACACATGCATATCATCATTAAATAAATCTTATTTACTAAAACATTTTTAATGTCAATTTTTCTACATAATAAAGGTACTTTTATACTTAAGTCCCTATTGTCGACTAAGAGGGTTACACACGGCGACTTTTAGCAGCGATGCAAACGCGCGACTGCATCGATACAATCGCCTATAAATTTATAGTGTAGCGATGCAATCGCGCGTTTGTATCGATGCTTAAAATCGCGAGTGTGTAAAGGTAGACGATTAGCGAGTGCATCGCTATTGCATCGCTGCTAAAAGTCACGATATATAACCGCTCTCAGTGAGCTCAACGAATATTATTTAGTATTAACAGTTGAGAGGTATTTTGATATAATTTAGATTTTTTGTTCTTTGGCTTGTCGATAATTGTAACTCTCTTATGAGGACTTAAATAGTTCTGTGAACTTGAAAATTTTTTTGTTTTATTTTCTTTTTTCTTGTTTTAGGCATTGCATACGTATTTTCCGTTAATTTGGAAAATTTTTTTGATTTTTGCAATAAGATTCAACAGTTTAACTTAAATGATTGTTGGATATCACTGATAACAGTGGTAACTGTTGTAGAAATAAAATACACATAAGTATATGTAAAATACTGTACCTCTATCTTGGTTTGTATATTAAACTTAGTAGATATTACTCAATATATTTTTCGAAATAGAAATCATTGTATATTCCCTATATTAAATTGGTATTTCCTACACTTGCACTAGCCTACTGCAAACCAAGTGAATGTACAATTTTATATTTAGTATACCTTGTTGTTTACTAAGCCGAGCATGTGTAATAACTATATTAAGTCAGTATTATGATTCATTGATGAGCTTACCTATAATTGGGTTACTTATAAAAACAATGCTTTATGTAATCTTTAGAGTAAGTTAAGTATATACCACTGGTATTCGAACATTACCGACTACTCAAATGGTGTAAGAAATTATTATATTCCGTTTAAATAAAATGAAAAATATGTACAGTAAAATTATTTTCTTAATATCTGCGGATTTCCGAATGCACTCAAATACAAATTTCCATGTGTAGTAACTATTAAATTTATCTTCCATAGTAATTTGAATTCAGAACTACGTATTTTAGTATCGTGTACCACATAATTTATTGTTATTTTCATTTCCATGTGAACTATGTAAAGCAGTAAAACGATTTATCTTTTTATAATAACATTTATTCCTTAGCAATATACCAAACACGTTAATAAATATATATAAATTAAGAAAAGAGTAGTAGCTATTTCTTACACTTCGAAGCCGATTGAGTCTGAAGATTGTTATCGTAGAAAATCGCTTTATTGCTTATCATAATATTTCCTACGAAGATCAATATACTTATTGTATACGCGTTAAAATCAGTTTTCGAGGCGCCTTTTCCACTCTACTTGAAATTCCTCTAAAATATGCATCAACTGCTTCATCGGGTGTTGAAAAACGGTGATCTTGCATTTTGTTACGTGCGGGGATAAAAAGAAGTCATCGGGTGCTAAATCAGGTTTATACGGCGGATGACCCATCAAACTGACGTTTTCATTGCTTAAAACTCACTTGTTTCATCCGATGAGTTCGCATTGTCTGTGAAGTGAATCGGTGAAGATCGATCCGTCTTCAGCGATTGAACTCTCTTAGTTCTCCTATAACAACTGGCAGACATACGGTTGATATTGCAAATAAATAACTTGCACAAATTCAATAATTTTTAAAATGTTACATTATTGCCGCAATGTTTTATTCGGTATCATGATTACGTAACCCGAACGAATGAAAGGCATTTCTGTTCATAAAACGATGAGTCTTCGTTCTTTTCGATTCATGTCTTACTTTGAATAGATCTTTCAAAAGACTTAGAATATTTAGTGTGGGGAATATTATAAATACTAACTACTTACTGTTCGTTATTTTACCTTTATTTGATAAGGCTTAAGAAACGATTCTAGAGGTATTTACTTTTAATAAAATCCATTTTCTTGTTTCATTAAGCGATGAAGCGGCGATTTATTGTACTTCCATCTTATTACGCAAGCTGCGCGTCTACAGAGACCTTACACACGGCGACTTTATGAAGCGAGGCAAACGCAGTGCAAGCGCGATGGAGTCGCTAATTATCGTTTACATATACGCGCGACTTAAAGCAGACGCTTGACTGCATCGCTATGCTTGCGATTTATAGGCGATTGCATCGATGCAAACGCGCGACTGCATCGATACAAACGCGCGATGCAAATCGCTGCTAAAAGTCGCCGTGTGTAACTACTCTTAAATAGCAAAAAATTACCTACTTATTTATTTATCTTAATGATAAGCGAGTAAAATAACAAGTTTTGTTTGAAGCTATCTATAGAGGTATAACGATAACGACGATACCTATGATGAGGATGGTATAGTCAGTTGCTCTATAATGTATAAAGTATTACTGATACAAAGATCAAACAAACACAAAGAAAAAAAAGTTCAGTCGGATCGAAGGAAAAAACCTCGTATCAATAATTATAACACACTACTTATTGTTATCATTTTGCTATTGCTATTATTTAGAAATTTTATTACTAGTTAAGTCTACATAAAGTGTAAAACATTGCAGGCAAATTAAGATAGAAATGAAAGGATCAAAAAAATTTTACGTAACCTATTCTCACCTTCGATTTTTCGAACCCGCCCGAAGTTCATGAATATTTAATAAAGACGCGTCGTTCTAGCTTTTAAGTTTTATTTAATTTAAATATTATGTATATTATATATTGAATTGTAATGCTTATTTTACGAAAAGGTATATAAATTAAAATGCTAAATATTTTTAGCCTCATTTTAGACGCCGAGGCTTATAACAAATTTATAATAGTACGATGAGCTTCAAAATTCAAGTTTAGCAATTTTATTATGAATTTAGGCATAGGATAGGTTAGGTATACGTCTGCTTAAGTAGAAATAAAAAAAAACACTTGACTTATGACTTTAGTGTTATTGACTTTTTTACACTAAAGAACACTATGAACTACAATGATCTTATATCCATTGACGGTATATATAATTTTCCAAGATATTTTCCTTTAATTTTACATGTATACTTGTTTGATCGGTTTGTAGAGCGAAAGCATAATGTAGTTATTGACTTCAAACTTCGTCAAACGTTCTTACGTTCTTACGAGCAGGTATGGTATATGGTATACGCATTGTTTGGGGCGGATGTAGGTACCTTATAGCTTTTATAAAGTAATGTAAACTAATTTATAGGTAATATAAAGTAAATTTTAAATCTATGGTTACTACACAACATTTGTGGGGTTGTGCATGCAAAATAACCCAACGCTTGTATTCCGTGGGAAATTGCAGTACGAAGTTTTAAAAGTTCTGGCCTTTTCGAAAATAAATAACATCATTTTCGTTTTATTTTTAAATACGAGTTCCGACGTGGCATTACATACAGCGCGAACGGCTTGAAGCAGTAATGACTTGTAATGAGCAGGTACAACTAACGAACGCACTGTCCGTATTTGGTTCACTGATTTTGCTGGAAACGGGTCCCCACTATTTTACCGCGAAGGAGTTTCCATCAAGATGGCAGAATTGCATTGAAAACATGGGTGCAAATTTTGATTAAATAAATGCTATTTTCTGAAATATTTTTATTGTTTGAATTGCCCTACGCATAAAGAATGGCAATTTTGTGCTTTAAACCCTACTGTTACTTATAGAGCGACTAAGCAATTTTGAGTAAAAAACAGTTTTAGTTTCGAAGATTAGTTTTTTAATCAAAGTAATTACAATTATTTTATTTTTATTTCTAGGAATCGGATGATGAGATTTCTCACCTAGAGTGGGAGACGGTACGCGTGCGCTTCGTTAAAGCAGGCACCGTCGAGAGGCTGGTAGAGGCGTTGGCCACAGACGACGGCGAGCTCGAGTCCACGTATGTCAACGTATTCCTCGCTACCTACCGGTATGTTCTTTAATGTTTCCGGCACTTGAAACAAAACCTTTTTAATACAAACATCGCTTGTCATGCTAATCGATTTACCATTAAATTATAATCCACTTTGTTACTAACTTTCATATAAAAAGGATTATAAAGTCAGTAACTTTTCGTTCCAACTAGTGTGAAAAGAATTTCAATGCGTTTTTATTAATTAATATATACAACTAACGTTTCAAATTTAATTAAAATTTCAAAATTAAATTTAAATCAAAATCAAAATTAAAATTTTTTGATCCTAATAGATCCTTCGCGGAATGTAGTCGAGTGTTGGACCTGCTCTTACGAAGATATGAAGCCCTTGCGGCAGAAGACGTGGTTACAACAGCGACTGACACTTCACTACAGCACCGAAAGTATGTTTCAATCAAAAAATAATAAAAATAAATGTGTACCATATGTTATATTTATCTCCAATTGCATTACAATGAATAAAAATGAGAAAATAGCAGCTAAATTAGAACTATGCTTTGTGTAGATCTAGATTTGGGGGTAAATTTTTTTTTTTCCACAAATTACAAATAATATTAAATAGACTTAAGGTTGATATTTAAAACACAATATACCATGACAGCGTGTTAAATTATTTTCACTCCATTCAGAACTCTGGTGGCATGTCTCCATGTATGGTTGGATACTTACCCGGAGGACTTTCGACAGCCCCCACACCACCCCGCACTTCAGCAGCTCCTTGCCTTCACACAGCTCCATTTACCTGGGTCAGAGCTACATTCGAAGGTATAACGATTGTCAATATTATTATTTACATAGGCTATGTCAGTGAAATTGACGTCAGTGGATAACTTCTTTATCGGTTTTTTCAGGTGCTTCAGAAGCTAGCGATATTCAGTGCAGAACGCAATGGCAGCTTTAAACAGGGTGCTGGAGTGTGCCTGGCGCCGGGCATGCGATTGTCCGCTCACCACACTAGTACCTACCGTCTGCCGCATGTTCCCCATCGACACTTTGCGGAACAGCTCACACGTATGGACATGGAGCTGTTCAAGAAATTAGTTCCGCATCAATGCCTCGGTGCTGTCTGGTCGCGACGAGATAAAGATCGATCTCATGATGCAGCTACTGTACTAGCTACCGTTAATCAGTTTAACGCAGTTTCGTTTCGAGTAATATCTACTGTACTGGTCGAACCAAATTTAAGGTCGGCAGAACGAGCTGACATTCTTGCTGCTTGGCTGGATATAGCCAGAGAGTTAAGGGTGCTCAAAAACTTTTCTTCTCTAAAAGCGATAATATCTGGATTACAAAGTAATCCCGTCTATAGGTTAAGGAAAACCTGGGCAATATTACCAAAGGAAAAAGCTGAACTATTCGACGAATTAGCACGTATTTTTAGTGAGGATAATAATAGGTGGACGCAGCGAGAACTATTAATGCGAGAAGGAACTGCAAAGTTCGCTGATACCGTTGGAGAGAATGATAGACAGTTGCAGAAATTGTTGCACGAGCGTGGTTCGCCCGGTGTCAGTCATGGGACTATACCATATTTAGGAACATTTTTGACCGATCTTACAATGATCGATACCGCTATTCCTGATACGGTAGCTGATGGTCTAATAAATTTTGATAAGCGTCGAAAAGAATTTGAAGTTCTCGCTCAAATCAAGTTACTGCAGGGAGCAGCCAACGCTTACCATTTGCCCTCCGACCCGATGTTTGATAGATGGTTCGACTCTGTGATAGTACTGGATGACCGGGAGGCGTATCAGCTGTCGTGTCAGATAGAGCCAATGACCAATCCACCTAAGGAGAGGCGTCCGAAGAAGGCTAACGATACCAATGGTCATGGTCACAGGAAAAACGATTCAATAGCTAGCACTAGTTCCAGCAATAGCTCACAATTTTATTGTGAGACTGATGGTGCAAACCATTGGAAAAGGGATAGTTTAGAACGACGGGCCTCGCCTACAAGATTGTCCCATGGTTCGTCATCGTCTTCACTCCCTTCACTGGATATGTCTTTGTCTAGCGCAAATAGCGGTCAAAAACAAACGAATGGCAAAATTGGAGGAGCTAGCCCAGCTCACACGAATGGTCCAGATTTTTATATAATTCGTGTAACTTACGAATCGGATAATGTAGAAACAGAAGGTGTGGTGTTGTATAAATCAATCATGTTGAGTAACAATGAGAGAACGCCACAAGTCATTCGTAACGCCATGCTCAAGCTTAATCTTGAAGGAGATCCAGACTCATATACGTTGTCACAAGTCCTGCCTGATAGAGGTAAGAAGGAATTGTTGCTTAGTGTTAGGTACTATCCCTGTAGAAATTTTGCGTTGAATGCAACAGTTTATTTATGTGTTACAGAAATGGTGCTCCCAGCAAACGCCAACGTGTATTACGCCGTGAATACTGCTTATAATTTGAACTTCATCCTGCGCCCACGCAAGGCGCAGCAAAGCGAACCAGCTCTTAACGGCAAAGCGCGTGGCAAACGCATTTGATTATGCACACAATAAACTTTAGAGTGCTTTCAGTGATCTCTTACAACTTGAGATTGAGTAGAATAGGTATGTGACAGGAAAATGACCTCATCAAGGACATATTACGGCATTTTCTTGTTTCCGCCGTATGTAACCAGTCCCTTAGGTTTAACGGTTTAGATAATTTAAAAAGACTTCGTAGACAATTTATAACTTTTTTGGATATTTGTTCACTGTCTAGAACTCTGTTAGTGAAATTGGTGCGATACATACCATAATCTTTTTGTGTTCATCGCGTGAATTTCTTTTTTGGTGTCTAAAACATACTATTGTTACAACTTTATCTATTGATGTCGACTGATTTACATTTATATATACGATTTATAATTTTGCCTGAAATTACAGCATTTCAAAGATAAAGTAACGTTAGCGTATCACGCGAGAAATATCGATCTGCCTGTAGTATAATTCTGATTGTATAGGAAGACCTACAAAGAAAGAAGTACTTCATATAATATTTCTGTGTGTTTCCATAGCATTTGTATAAAGTGTTAATGTAAATATTATGTCACCCTAATGCCACCTTTAGTAATATAATTAACATTTGTATATGTAACTCATTGTCTGTATATAGCGAATATGTGTAAATAAGAACCTCTAGTAAATTTAGGTAGTGAAATACATAAAATACTGAGCCAAAGGCAAATTGTTATGTCTAAGCAAGGTGCTGTCCCTTTTTGAGAATACATTTAGAAGCTTTAAGGAAATTGTACGGAAATCCGAATTTTGATGATATTAAACTAGGATGATAGAAGAGGGTCGTCTTTACATTATATAGCCTTATAACTATTGGCTATTTAGTGGTCTTACAGGATAAAGTAGAAATCGTTAATAAAGAAAACGTTAGTCAAAATAGTGTTGCTAGATATTTTAGATCAGTGTATGCACATTTTAGATGGATGTTTTGTACTTATCTGTAACGGGGTACCTATTTATATCGATGTGTAGTTAAATTGATTTTGAACAATATACCATGTAAATTAGAACCTTAAAAAAAGACATGAATAAACAATTTGAAGTAACTTAATTTTACATAAACTGGGTCTACTTTTTTATTACATTTAACAAACTAAACCGCGAATTATGGTGTTAATTTAGAAGCTTTTTAAGACTTATTTTTATTGCCGACAATTACATTTTCGACTAGATTGATTGTCGTATTTGACCCCACCCATTTTATTTACGTTTTCTAACTTTCGTGTCTTAAAGTAAGTATTTTATAATGTTATTTGTATATTATGTCGGACTGTAATGTTCAATATATTGGTACGTTACCTATACCTGCCTACCCAGAATAACTCGTTAGCTACTATTTTCTAAATGTACGATATTTAGAACTCATTTTTGTAAATATTTGTTATATGTAATGGACTTTATATTTTGTAGTTTTTCACCAGTTTCCTATGTAACCATGTTTTATATGTGTAATAAAAAGTTAATGCTAATTTTTATTTTTTTTGGTTTTAATTTTCTACGTTTGAATACATATTTCGTGGAGGAATTAAAAAGAAAATTAATTTATTTGGCAATTTGGTACTATATGATAGTTGGTGTTCCAGAACCCCAAGTCTGCCAATTTTGAATCATTTCAGTTGTGTGTCCATAGATTGTGAATTGCAGTAGGATTTTGTACGTTTGGTAGGTATTTTGCTAAAAGTAGTGGCTGGTCAGTGGCTAGTTTTCTTTTATTTATGATACTAAATGACGACTCGAACAAGTCGCGCGTGCGCCTGACGGTAAGCAACACGCCTGTCTATAACAGTTGCAGAGCTCTACTGCTACTAACATCTAGCTACTGCTCAACTGCCATTGCAATTTTGAAGTATTCTGCTGTCGATTCTGTAGTCGATGGCACGTCGATGGTGTAGTGTATGCACGAACTCAAATACTGTTCTAACTCAACATTGTGTAATTGAACATACACACATCAAAAAAAGTTTGCGATCACTTCGAAAAACTGAAATCTTTTTTGTTACTGTAGATTATATTATGATTTTTTCTTCTTTTTAGATTCTTTATTTAAAAATAAATTAGAACATAAAACAATGACCCCGTTCAATTGTTTTTTCATATAAAAAGGCTTTCAGTCCTAGCTTACGCTCATTCAGAAATCTGATTTAGTCAATTATGAGCGATTCAAGATATTTTTCGCGGAAAGTTGTGATTGAAAAAATGCCAAGAGGATTATCAGAGGTTTTACGAGCTAGAATAGTAACTTTGAGGGAAGAAGGATACACCACGAGAGTAATAGCACGCAGACTTGCTATATCCCAATCCTGTGTCGTGGCTACGTTGCAGAGGTATCACGGAATGGGGAATTTAGCTGACCGACCCCGCAGCGGTCGCCCAACTGTTTTGACAGCTGCCCAAAAGTGCTATATTAGATTGCTGGCAGCCCGTGATCCAACAATCAACGCCACTAAAATAAAAGCAGAAGTCAGGGCCGCCTCTGGGCTTGAAGTTAGCACGCAGACCGTTCGCAATTGCTTGCACCAGGCTGGATTACGAGCACGGAGGTCTTGGCGAGCTCCGCTCAATTCCCGGCAACGTCAACAACGAAGGTTGCAGTGGGCTAGACTTCGGCAAAATGAAGAAGGTGAGGACGAAAACATTTGGCAAAACTGTCTCTTCGTTGACGAATCCCGAATCAGCACTCATCCAGATAATCGACGTGTCCGTGTCTGGAGAAGACCAGGCGACCGTGAAAGACAAAGAACTGCCACTGGAACAGTTCAGCAAGGCGGAAAATCGGTGTCCTTTTGGGGTGGCATTATGATTGGAGCTAGAACGCCTTTGATCCCGTATCGGGGCTTCATGACAGCAGACATGTACAAAGCAGTTGCTATTGATGATATCGTCAGACCATTCCGAGTAAACCATGGGCACCAATTTGTACTGGTCGATGATAATGCGTCCGCACATCGAGCTCAACGAGTCAATGCTGCTCTTCAAGAATATGATATCACACGATTAGACTGGCCTGCCGGCTCGCCCGACTTAAACCCAATAGAGCACGCGTGGGATGCTCTTAAACGAGCAGTATGGAACCGTGAGCCACGTCCCCAGACAGTTCCAGAGCTCAGGGAAGCCGCTATTGAAGAATGGGATAGGTTACCCCAGGAAATGCTGGATAACTTGATCCTCAGCATGCCCAGGAGGATCTTCGCATGTATTCGAGCCAGGGGAGGAGTTATTTTATATTGAATTCACACCTTTTAATAATAAATTGTTGTTTAAGTTTAATTAAACAGTCTTTTTCTTTCTATGAAATTTCTATCACTATTACATTATGATTAATGGCTCAATTTTTTAAAATAAATAATAAAAAATAGTTTTATATTTTAATTTCAAACAGGGTATTCCTATTTAAAGAAAGCATACAACATAGATTTTTTCTTGATAAAGTTAAATTTAAAGAATTATAGGAGCTTATGCTATTGATCGCAAACTTTTTTTGACGTGTGTATTTTCGTTAATAAATGGATAATTAAGTATTATGAATTAATAAAAATAATCACATTTTTTTAAATCACATTGTTCGCAATAAGATCCATTTTTTTTTAAATTTACAAATTGTGTTTCTCTATTCCACAATTTTGAAATACGACAATATTTGGTTTCATGTGCAATCTGATTTTTAAAAGCTTTGCTGATACGAGATAAAAATTAATATATTATGCGTTAGTGATTTCCACGGTAGTAGTAAGTAGGTTAGTAAGGCAACATCGACCATCAGTGATTGAATGAATGAATGTCATCTGACATTCCATTGACACTCCATTGCGACTCAAGTACCATTGCAACTAGATTTTAGCAGAATAACAAATATTATCATAATTGCTCTAACTCTGCATTTAAAAAAAAAATGACTGATCATTGTAAATAATAATAGTAATAATAATGGTTTATTTTCTCAACACAAAGAATATAAAGTTATATTATAATAGACTAATTTTAAATGTTGTATCCTTTGAGAGAGACTGGACTGGAGAACGTGCTAGGCAACTAAACTTGTTCACCAGGCCCTCACCCTCTCATAGTAGTCCTATGTAAAAAAAACAATACGTGTGCGTGCGTGCGTGTGTGCGTGTGCACACACACACACACACACACACACACACACACACACACACACTCAATTTTGTTATTATGCTAAAAACATAGTTGCATTACCATTTGAGTCTCAATGAAGTGTCAGTGGACTGGTTGCTATGGCATTAATTCATTCAATCACGAACTATCGATGTTGCCTTACTAAAACTATCATGGGAATTACCACGGACGAAAAAGAAACAATGAAAGTGCCTTAAGCCTCGATTATTATCGGAGCCGCTGTCGCCAAAACGCACACAAGAAAATGAGAAACACTACGAAATCTTAATAATAGGTGGCCATAGTTTCTAATTTAAAAAGATGTAGCAAACTGGATTGTTAATATAGTTTAAACTTTACCCAGTCGCTATATCGTTGAAAATTACAATACCTTTATTGCAAGTTACGACGTTTTGATTTTATATTGAAATTTTATTCAATGTGCTGCCATCTTGCGGCTAGTAGCTAGACTACGACGAACGATTAACATTTGAATCAATTCGATAAACTGAAAATAGAAAATTGATTAATATAAGACTTACCAATGATATGAAATACTACGTGTGGCGCACTATAAGTTTCCGGAATGAATAAGAAATGAATATGAATGAATGGTCAGAATTCAATTTATTTTTTCAAAATGTTCTCCGTTAGCGTTAATGCACTTTTACATACGAATGAACCAATTTTGAAAACATTTATGCTACTCCTCCGTGACAATCTCTGAAACATATTTTTCATACTCTTCGACAGCCTCTTCAGGTGATGGAATTCGTTGACCGCGTAACTGGTTCTTAATTTTTGGAAATAAGTAAAAGTCACAAGGTGCCAGGTCGGGACTGTACGCGGAATGGTTCATAAGGTCAACGTTGTTCACCTTCAAAAATGCATTTGTCTGTCTGGCCATGTGAGAACTGCCATTATCGTGGTGCAATATGATACGGCGTTTACGGTTATTGTTACGGAGTCTGTTTCCATAAGTCCCGGCAAACAAATGGTCGTGTACCAATCAACGTGTACTATTCACGGTGCAACGATTCTCCAAAGCAACAGTAGCCACGTGTCCAGTTTTATTAAACAAAGAAACAATCATCCGCTTAGAGGCACTTTACACGCGCGCCACTTTGGTTGGCTTCGGCTCATCACGAAAGAGCCATACGCTCGATTGCTGCTTTGTTTTGGGATCGTAACTGTAAATCCATGTTTCGTCACCTGTTACTATGTTCCGCACTAAATTCAGTCTTCAACTTAAATAATGTTAGTATAATACACCGTCGAGTCGCCATTGAAAAGCAGAATACTAAAAAATTGCAATGACAGTTGAATAAGTAGCTCGATGGCTAACCACTACTCCTAAATTTTAGCAGGATATCAAACGTAGAAAATCCTCTATCGACACACAACTCAGTAGACTTAAAATTAGCAGAATTGGGGCCCAGAAGAACAAAAGGGACACTATGGCGAAATCATTGAAACAAACTCTGGTGCTTACAGATTGTTCACGATCTACATGTGTTGTTGGACAAAATTAAGTAAATGTAAATGCAACAGACAATCAACAACGTATTTTTGTCGATCGACACTGTTGAATTGAAATTAGGCGCAGGTGCCTACAAATTTGTTTGATTTTAGTCTTGATATTTATCCAACGCTAATAGGTGATGATTGATGATCGTCAAAAATCGAGCAAATGTGTAGGCACCTTAAGGCTCAATTTACATTGACGCGATAGGAATTAAAGCAAGTTAAAAAACAGCTCGCGGACACCAGCCTATTTATTGCTGTTTATATTTCTTTATGTATTGGTTTGAAGAAGTGTCTCAACTACTTGAAAGACTGGCATGAATATGACTAGAATTGTTAGTTCCTAAGAGCTCTAGTGTCGATTTTCACGAATTCATTTTTCTAGGATACGAACATTTTAAACAATAATATTCCAATCGTTGTAATGCAGGTGGCATTCTTTGATTCCAAGTTACACGATCTTTAATTTTCGTCTATTTTCTTTTAAGGCGGCAAAGACAGTTTATATGGAGATTTTTTTCTAGCGGAGGGAGCAAATTTACGGCAATCTAATGTCGAGGCTGATGTAAACAATATGTATGAAATAAAAACACGCAATAAACGGCATGTATGAACTACTACCTGACAGGTATCATTGAGCAATACCGAACGCTTATCCGAAAATTCGACTACAACATTTGTTGTTTGTTGTGTTGAAACTACAAGCGAAACATAATATTTGCCAAAAAGTCATTTCACAGTGAATGGAAAATTTCTTAGAAATCTGCCTATTTTATTCGTTATAGACGTTAATGTATGTTTTTACATCAAATCCATTCGATCCAAAACCCTGTTTACATGCTTCCGTTCTTGTGCCAGGTGGAGTACTTCACAGAGCTCATTTAGTTAATGACCTGATGAGCAAATAGAGTTTTGTGTAATGATGCGCGCTGGAGTGTTGCGCGGTTTTGATTTCTGTAGACAGAATAATTGAGTGAACCGTCATCTCGAACACAAATCAAATAACTATTATGACTCAAATCAGTCTGTAAACAGTAATCATTCATATAGCTCAATTGAAATCCTTTAACCATTGACTTACAAATAAATGGACGACTGGTCTAATACAAAAACCACGAAAAAAATGTCCCAAGTCAACCTATTTAAACGTAGTGACATATAAAGGAGTATGAAAAAGCTAAAACGTTGAATTGAAATTGTAATGTCATCGCAGTACTGTCTAATTTTGCTTGCTTCGCTGTCAGTCGAACAAACGAAGACTAAAGCGTGAATGACGCTCTGTATACGATTTTAACGCCCTATAAGTTCGGACACTTTTTAGCGCGGACCCGATGTCCATATAATTGTAAGTCAATGCCTTTAACCTTACTCGCCCTTGCTCGCTTAGTACCATTGTCACGCTAGCGCCACAAATATGCATGTTTTAATCGTACAACTAAAAACGTAATTCTACAGATTTTCTAACTACAAGGGTAATGAACTTTTTGAGAACGAAATAATTTAATCTGTTTTAAGTTTTCTTTTCGAGTATAATTTTTGATAAGCTCACAGATATTTCGGTCAGGTATCAAATCAAAAGGTAATACCAGTAATACAGTTCATGGATATCCAACGCCACACTAAGGCCATCTGGCGATAGTTTTTAAAATCGAATAGACAACCTCTCTGACACAAGTAGGTTCAATGTAACAAACAGGTTATATGCTACTTTGTTGAGATGGCGTGATATGCACCATTTACTCTTAAGAGAATAATTTAGTAACGTTTATGTTTAATTTATTTCCTTGAAAAAACTTTCGCTTTTCTAAAGAAACTTTGCATGCGTGGAGGCACAATAAATGATTATAGTTGTGTATACTTGGTTTTAGTCGTAAATAAGTAGATGGGTAATATCGATTCTTTTGTTCTCTACTTTTAAGTTTATGTGCCATCAAATTGAATTATCAATTTGCCAACACTGAAATCGAAAGTAACTTTGAATTTGTTTAGATTACACTGGATTTATTTTCACCCAGGCAGTTCGAATTAATTGAAGATTTCAATGTTTTAACATTGAAAAATTAGAACTTAGTTAATAAAACTCAAAGCAATTTAACTTTGCAACGAGGGTCGCGTTATTTACGGTAAAATGTTATAGACGTGATTAACCCAACATTGGTGTCGTGGCATGTGGAATGTTGGTGGCTATGGGCTGAAGGCGCGGTGGCGTTCCGCCACCGGTTGACAGTGGCTGAAATTTTCATGGCCAGCGTATCGAGCGGGTCGGTGGAGAGTAACGCGCAGTCGCTCCACACCGCCCGCCCGAGCGCCTGCACACCGCCGCCGCCACCGCCGGCAGAGTCGCGACAATCGCGCGTGCGATACCCAGTCCGCACGTTCGCTCAGCTCCCGGCACAACAACAACACACGCGCGACGCACGGTGGACGCATTAAACCTTTCTAGTGCCGGTATTAGTGAAGTGATCGTGACACGTGCTCATCTCCGCGCGACATGTGAGATAATTTTTCGTGACGGCGCCGGCCAGCGGCATGCGGCGCGGCCCACATTCACGCAAAATGAAATAATAAGGTAATTTGATGGCATTTTGCAATATGCCCTTGATTAACGATGCGTAGAGCACTTGTTCCGTACCTACTCGACATTTAGAAAGACTCAATCAAGACTTTACCATTCATGAAAACATATTATTTACTTGTGTTAAGTCATATCTGGCCTAATTTATATACCATGTTTACTTGCCACGATTTGATTTATAATTAAACAAAAACCTTTTACCTCGCAAAGTAGCGTAAGTAGTTATTTAGGCATATAAGTGTCTGTTTTCGTAATGGAAGCGGTCGAAGTTCGGACGCTGAAGCTCTACGACTGCCGCAATCTGATTATGGCACACCCACAGAGACGACGCATTGTACAAAGAACTATCATATTATATCCTATAATAAATTCAAATAAAGCCAGTCTTCAAGCATAAAGAGGACGCGAATAATAATTCTGCCGAAATTGTTGATCGTAGACTTTGCGTAGAGTTCGTAGCGTAGCGCGAAGCAGGTCGTATCTTACGTACCTTTTCAAAATATAACATATCGCACCCTTAGTAATATAAGGGCACAATCCAAAAAAAGTAGATTTTTGG